GTGCGAGCCATGTGATCAGGAGCGAGGAGCGATGGGCGCGGGGCAGGAGGGAGACACGCGACATGGGCGCGGGGTAACGACGCTGATGAACCTATCGCCCCATTTGGAACGAGAAATAAAACGGCCAATTCAGTGACCAAACGCCTGATTTATAACCCCTCTTTTGGAGGGGCTTTGGGCCGGCTCTAACCCACCAATAACTCACGTGTTTAGCATGCCTTCCTCGCGGGGCCGGGGAGCAGCGGGCCGGACGCCGCGCCCCGGGCGGGGCTCCCGGGGGACCTAATGAGAGCCCAGAGGAGGCCTGATCGACAGGGAGCCCCGCGCGCGCCTCGTCCTCCACAGTCCGAATCCATCACCAAACACCATACTTTAGAGCAGGGCCCTGCTCGAAACGAACCAACGAGCGGGAATGAAAACGTTTTTGAATCCGGTGGGGGGCCGCGGGCCGGGGGGGTTTCGGATTCCGAGCAGCCCACGGGATAGAGACACACACGCACTCTTTGTAGAAAAGTGTACTGTAACTCGAGCTAGGAGCGGGTGTAGTGCAGTGAGTAAATGCACTCCTGCGAGGCCACGATAGCGACAGGCCCGGAGGTGTGGGCGGAGGAGGTTTCGCCTGAGGTACACCAGCTGTGTATTTTTAAATTAACGCGCCGCGCAGAGTTAACGCGCGCGTCATTTACATTAGTTTTTCTTTTCGGGTGGATCCTCCTGCGTGTTGGAAGAAGGAAGGGGCGAGGAGGAGGGGACCGGGAGAGCCACCAGCCCGGGCCATCCGTGGCTTTCATCGTCGTGCTATGCCCCCAATTATGGAAATGCCCTAGCTCTACGGCCCCGGCCCGACCCGGCCCCGCCGCTATCCGCGGCCCATCGGCTGGGTGTGAACACAATGGTGCGCACCGGTGTCCTCTCCCTCTCACCTGCGGTGCCCCCCCCCCCCCCGTGCGCTCATACCACGCCCACACCAAACACCCTCCCCCTCGCACCGAGACGTCAACCGCGACGATAAAAGACGAGGGGTGGGGGGAGTTAAGCAATTAAACACTTTGAAATATTTGAACAACGGCAAATCTCTCGCTTGTCATCAATCGCGGCGGGGGGTGTTGTGTTGGTCACGAGAACGCCATGTGCTGGCTAGACCAGAAGGCTTGAGCAAAGGCATTGTTAAGGCGTTACCCGTTCCTGATACCAATTACGTTCGCCCGTTGCTATCGCCCGGCCCGGCCCCTAGGCCCGGCTATGACGACGCGACGGCCGGACCAATCTCCAAATGGTATCTGGTTCACGGCTGCACCCCTTTGGCTACCCGGGCTGCAGGCGCCCCGCCCCCGATCCCCAGATAATGCCATCTAATTAACACGTTCAGTGCGGCGTGACCCACACCGTGGGTCACAATAACATGGGATTGCCTACCCCCGCCGCACTCAACGTGTTAATAGGGCGCGGCAGTGAAGGCGTTTCCTAGTTGTTGTTGTTGTTTCCACGGGCAACTCGAAAAGGCGTCATGTCCAGACTGTTGTCCGGGACCGTAGCGCCAGAGAGGATCGTAAAAGAGGAACAAAAACCGTAATTTTATAGTTGACCCGTCGCATCGCCGTTGAGCAAAGAGATAAAAAAGTACATAAAAGATGTGACTCCGCAAAAGACCTGGATATAAAACACTACCGTTGCAGAGCTCCGGGTGATTTATTAGCTGTGGACACAATGAGGATGGCGGGGACGGACAAGATTTCAAAAGTGAGTGGCGCCTACGTCACCGCGTGCTTTTCGGGGGGAAAAACAACAGTTTTTAGCTGTTATCGAACTTCAATCACGGCGACGCTAAAAAAACGTTCCATTTACATTCCGGCAAACTTTATCTCAACCCACCGCACCGCGGAGGCATCCGACTGTGACCAAGTGGCACCCCCCCCCCCTTTTCCAACGCCGCCTGCACGGCCCGTCGCACAACAGGCTATCCGTTTGTTTTTTGATGAATGATGCGCTGATATCTCACAATCGTAAGCGCGTGTGAGTGTGTCCGATACTGTGCGTGTGTGAGTGGATGCGTGTTGCTGATCACTCGCATTAGTCGCTGCTAGCAGGCGGACCGGACACCCGAGGATGCGCGTTTAGGAGGCGCGGAGTTGCATTTCCCTGGCTTTTGATCTTCTCCAACGCACACAAATTCACATCGGTAGACGTGTACGGCAATTTGTCGCGTATGATGGATGCCCAAGCAAAACGGCGTGGTCATAGGGGTTTGTGACCCCTCTCCCCTCCACTCGGTTTTCTCATAATCCGTCGATACACACAGCAGGCGTTGCGGAGCAAGGCAGCACCCAGCAGCACCCCCCTCTCCCATCCTACACTCGCATGCAAACGCGCGAAAGTTACCGCGCCGCGCGCAGGCCGCCCGGCCGAGTGCAGCAGTGGCGGAGGAGGAGGTACTGCAGCAGCAGCGGCGGTGCGAGTGCAACAACGCCCACGCCCCGTGCCCCCCGCCCATGCCACACACCGCGCCGAGCCGGTCCGACACGCGGAAACAGAGGAACAACGCGAAATAATAAAAGGAAATATTCAAATTTTGCGCCGAAAAATACTAAATGTGAATGCGTGAGAAGTCAGCGCGGCGCGAAAAGGAGCAGCCGCAGGCCGCAGGGCCCTCTGCTGGACGATAAAGATGGTCTAGATGAGGGGCCGTGCCGTGGGAGGGAGGGGCGCGGAGGACCGGCGCGGGGCCGGGTGCCTGGCGCCAAAGGGGTGGGTGGCGCCAGGTAGGGGGACGGACGCTCTGATGCCGCTCCGCAACCCAGGCAGACGGCCTCGAAGACGTTCTATCACCTCGACGGCCTCGTAGGGTCGGCGCCAGGAGGACAGCGGAGGGCTACGACCTGCCCCCTGCCTGCGCCACGAAAACAACAGCGATTCTTTTCGCGCCGTGGAGGCTGCGCAGCCGGCGCTGCAGCAGTGTCCTCCTGTCGGGCATCCGCGCGCTGCGGGCGGGGTCACGCTCCAGGGTCACCCTGGTCACCCCTGTCCCCGGTCTGCCCCGCGCGGCCACGGCCAGGGGCTCGAGGTCCGACCAGCAGAGTGGCAGTGGAGCGAGAAACGCGTCGTCGATCCGCCGCATGGCTAGCAGTATTATCCAGTCCCATCGAGTTGACAAAATGAAAAGAAAAGAGAGTGCGCCGCACGGCCGTGGAGACTGGAGAGGAGACGACGATGTCGAACCGTATCGAACCAGAGCCGAGTGTCTCCAAGAAAGGGGGATTTTATTGGGACTTGCGTCAGTCTGATCCGCGGCTAATCCCCGTCCTCCTGTGAAGCCGGGACACAAAAGGGGGACCCGTCCGTCCCAGGAGAGGGACCATAGCCGTGCCGGGGGGACCCTGTGACGCGCTCCCGTGGTCACGAATGGTGTGTGTCGGTGTGGCTGTGTGTGTGTGTGTGAAGGTGCGCAGAATGCACCGGCGAATCTGACAGGGCTTCCAGTGAATGGGAGAAGGACAGACGACAGCTACTACCTGCTAATCCGATGTTCGGTGTGGGGGAGGGGGGCCATTGCCCCGCGCGAGGCAGGCAGTGCGGCGGGGGCGGTCCGCGAGTGACGAGGCACACCCGGTCACCCGGGCCCCTCAGGACTACTGTGCTCGCGTCGCGCTGGACTTTGGAGAGGAGTCTCTCTCTGTGAGCGCGATGTTGCATCACGGAGTGCCAGGAGGGAACTTCGTGGTCAGGTTGTGTGAGCGGGCCGCAGGGCCCGCCTCCTGGCCGGACAGCGGGTGCCGTTGTGCCCGTCACGTTGCGCCCGCCCCGCCCCGCACAGCCGCCTCTTCCGGCTCGACTCCCCGGAGGGGTTCCGGACTCGTAAGGCCCCGGAGCGTCCGAAGCCTCACCGCAGTGTCCGTTTCGCAGACCGCAGGGCCTTGAGGGCCCCTCTGGGAGAGAAAGCAAGATGGAGGGAAGGAGAGGGGCTCGCCGCGGGGCGACCAGAGGGCGGCAGGGTTAAAACGACGTGACAAGCCGAGACGTCCAGCGGCGTTGAGGAGGAAGAAGAAAGGCGCTGCAGTCATGAGGACATGACCCCTGTCGTGGAGGTGCAGGCCGACACAGGCGGTGAAAGTCCGGCCGCGGCGTTCGAACCTGCAGGCTGCAGTGCTGCAGTGCGCGGATCGGGGACAGCCGACCATGGGGCGGCGGGGCAGCCTCTTCAAAGGGCACGACAAGAGGGCGGGCGGGCCTCGGGGACGTGCGTGTGCCGCTCGCATCCGCCCTCCAGGGACCAAAGAATCACTACGGTAGCCGAGAGGCTGAGAGAGGGCTGGGCAGGCGGAGGCTGGCTGGACGGGCGGCAGCGCGAGCACGCCGTCAACCTCTGTCGGCCTGCCTGCAGGTAGCTGCAGCGCGGGGCTGGGGCGGGGGTGGGAGGGGCGCGCTGGCATTCCTTCTTCACCCCTCAGGTGTGAGGGCCCGGCGGCCCCGCCTCGCCCCGCCCCGCCCCGCTTGGCCCGGCACCATGCAGGGCAGGGGCCGCAGCAGCGGGCCCAGCCTGCAGCAGCCCAGCATGCATCTCCCGTGCGTCTCTTTGTAATATGTTTGCCTGGCTGATCGGCACCGCCATGCAGCCCTGTTGTATGGGCAGCCTAGTGCTGCCGAGAGCTGAGATCCTCGACGTGTCCCAGTATGGTCGCCAGAAAGGCATATAAGACCTGGCTGTGAACCCGGGGAGGGCACGAGCGGCGAAGTGTGAGCGGTGTGTGCATGCTCATTTATGCCTGCAGCCTCCGGTCGTGGAAGGGGACGCCCCACAAGTGCGCCCCGTGCTTGCTTCGTTACGAAACAAGTTTCGCTCCGTTGACTGGCCGGATCATCTTTCAGGGGCTGCGGCGGCGGGCGATGGGCCCGGAGCCCCTGCAGGGGCCGAGGTTACTAACTTACATGATACCCGACCAGCACCTGCTACGAGCGGGGGGGAAAATTTGTGCAAGGTTCTCTCGTTCTCAGATGATACTCACTGTTCTTGTCGCCTTGCGGGGTCCTAGAGCCGCCCGTGAGCGGGCGGCGGTGCTCTTCGTCCGCTTCCATGGTGATGGTCACCATGATGGTGGAGGCTGTGGTCCTGAGTGCGGCGCAGCGAGAGACTGCCACGCGGGGGTGTCACACTAGAGCCCCTCGGCTCGACTCCTCTCCACTCTCACAAAACTACCGCCATTGGGCACATGGCTCTCTTATAATTTCCTTTTATCTTTCTCTCCTCCTCACTCTCACACGGCACAGGGTGAGCTGATCTCTTTTCTCTCTCTCTCACACACACACACGCACACACAGGGGTAGAACACGTTAAATCCACAGAGGTGCAGCAGCAGCAGTAGCAGCGTCGCGCCGCCCGGGAGGTAGGCAGCCCATGGAGTCCCTGGCGGAGGGCCGGCAGGGCGATGAAGGTAATCCTCACGTGCGTCCCGAGCGAGACCCGCGGCACGGACCGGCGTGCGGAGTGCGTGTAGCGACCAGCGCGCGCGGCGTCCTCTGGACAACTAGCGAACGAAAACCGAAGCCAACCTGAGCGGCCTGGGCGGCGGCGGCGTCCCCCTCCTCCGCCAGCCCCCCTCCCGCCCCTCCCTGCCGCGCTCGGAGGCTGGGGTGGGGCTCGGTTGCTGCGCCGCGCTCCATCAGAGGCAAACACAAAACGCAAGGAAAGGCTCGCTCCAACGCTCGAGCGCTTCCGAGCGTAGCTAGAAGCGTAGCCGAGCCTCCAAGCCCTGCGCGCCCGAAGACGGCCGAAGCTGCTCGGGCCCGGGCCCGCGGGCCGGGGGCGAGGGCGTCCGAGGAAGTCCTGGAAGCGTCTCTCCCTCTCCCACGCGAGGACGGGGGGCGGGCAGAGCATGCCGCTCAGGTGTGCACCGTGTGCACCACTCCGCACGCCACCCTCCCCGGCTTGCTCGGGCGAGAATAACAACATATGCGCCGCTGGAGCCGCCCTGGAGCCTGGAGCGCGCGCTGGAGCCATAAGCCCGCCCTGCGCCGCCCGCCCTGTAAAAGCCCTGTAACGCCCTGTGAATCAGCAGGCGGAAGACACTCCAGTCCCGCGGCTTGGCCCTGACTACTCCGACCTCGCAGGCGACAGGAGGACGACACGACCACAGAGTCTGCAAGCCCTCAAGCCCCCCAAAGAAACCCAACGAGCAAAAAGAAACGACGACTCTGCTGCTCCAGGGGCATATCTACCTCATGGCCTTGCAACACGTCTGACGGGAAGGGCAGGAAAGTGTGAAACCTGTGTTGGTGGTGGTGTGCCCGTTAAAATCTAAACGAGCACTTGCCCAAAATTGCGGCCGAGGCAAGGCCGTCGTACACCTTGGCGTCGGGGGTGTGCCTACCTTGTACCTCGTCTGAACTCCCCCCCCCCCTTTCCATCAAGTCAGCCGTTCTTCTGGCCTGATCCCCTTTCTCCCTCTGGGAGTGGAGCGGTGCTCATGGCAGGCTCATTTGCTCCTCGGTTATGTGCCTACGTGACGCAAGAGGGTGCTTTCAGAACGTGACACCTCGATAGACGGGAGACAGTGGAAAAAAAATCCCAGCGTATTCAAAGTGTACGATGTCCGAGAAAAAATAGGTGTATAGCTCAATAGAGAGAGAATAGCCGTCTAGAGGTGCATACTCACCACGTGAGTGCGTTTGTCACACGGCTGCACACTCACATAATAACGCTACCCGGTCACGCCATCGCCGTAAATCTCACCCGCAGGGAGGGAATCCTTCTTCTATGTCGGGCCCGCCGCGCGCTGTTTGACGCGCCGCGCATTCAGATTTGTTTTCGGCCACGTGCGACACACCCGTAATGCTGTTTCCGGCCGCCGCAGGAGGACGCCCTGCAGGACGCCCGCAAGACGCCCCCGCGAGACACCCCGCAGGACACCCCGCAGGACGCCCACAGGACGCCCACAGGACGCCCACAGGACTAACTCAGGACACCCGCAGGACGCATGCAGAACGCCCACAGGACGCCCAACAGGACAACCCACAGGACGCCCGCAGAACGCTCACAGGACGCCCACAGGACGAACACAGGACGCCCATACAACACCCGAAGGAATCCTGCAGGGGGTCACTGCGGAATATACCAGGTGGCTGATTCACGCCGCGCACTTCTGTAGGTACCGCATGCACGAGTGCGGGCGGGCTTGCCTATCCCCCCTGTCCACGGCGCCTTACGAGCCGAGCGGGTAGGCAACCCGACCGCACCCGTGAATGTGGTACAGCATAACTACAGGAGTGCGCGGCCTGAATCAGCCACCCGGTGTACCTTTCAGCTGGCACTCCCCCGCTTTCTGGCCTGGCACCTGCACTCGCCGGCACTCCCTTTTTGGCCGAGTAGGCTGGAGTCGGCTCGTTCCTCCCATAGACCTGGTCTATGGTTCCTCCCGCAGGTCCTGCTGGCTGTCCTGTAGGTCTGCGCCGCAGGACTCCCTGCTGCGGCGGCGCGCCTGCGACGGGTACTTTCAGAAGACACCAACAGAGAGGCGTCTCTCTCGCTCACCTCTCTCCTTGGCGGGGCCGGCGGCGGGCGCGGCCAGGTCCATCAGGTGGTTCGCTTCGGTCTCCGGGGTCATCACACCTCACGTGCCGGTCATTCTCACCCACTGCGGCGCGCTATTGGCCATGGCTGTGGGATGGGCGTGTCCCCCCCTGGTCCCCCCGCGCCACGGCACTCAGGATGGTAATGGAGAGAGCCATAAGTCTCTGCATCCGCGCTCCACGCGCCTCGCGTCTGTTTGCCGGATTATAGCCTTTTTCCGCCCCTTCCTCAAAGTGTGTTTCCGCCGGGCGCAAGGAGGACGCGTACGACGACGCCGCGACATTCTTCTCCAGCCCGGGGCGGGACGGGAGGCGGGGCGGGGCGGCGTGAAGCGGCGTGAAGCGGCGGGCTGTGGTCTCGACGCGACGCCGACGCCTCGGGGAATCGCCTCTTCCTATCTGTGCGAGTGTGTAAC